GTGGATTCGGTGGTGCTGGACACGGTGCAAAGAAAGACGACGACTCCAACGACCAACAAGGAGGTACCGGTTGGGGTCGCGGTGCGAAATCTAGACGTGGGGGCAAGTTGGGTGCTGGTGGCAAAATGAAAGGGAGTTGCTGGTATTGTGAGAAGGAAGGGCACCCCTGGTTTTTGTGCTATAAGAAACCCGATGGATGGACCCCCCAGAATCGTCACCAGGATGGCGGCGCGCGGAGGAACCAGAAAAACGGCGCCAACATGGTCGCTGATTCGTCCGACAACAACCCGAAGGGCAACGGCGGTGCGGAAAAGAAGAAGGAGCGCACCGCGGGCCAATTCTTCCATATGGGAGACAAGGGGGAGCAAGGAGACGCATCTGCTAAGGTTGGAGCAGAGCTGCACCCCTTGGACTATTGGGTGTTGGACACACGCGCTGCTTGGACAATGACGCCGCGCAAGGACCTGCTGGACGACGTACGCGCTGCACCGATTAACGAGGTGTGCTCTGCCTCTGGACACATGTTGAAGGTGGCTGGTGCGGGACGAGCTGCGTTTAAGGGAGTGGATGGCAAGCCGGTAGTGCTGCACGACGTTCTTCTTGTTCCTGAACTCAAGGCCAACCTCATCTCCCTCCGTAAGCTTGGCAAGTCTGGGGTGAGCACTATCACGGATGGGGCACGCACTTATAAGGGGAAGCTGGGCAATCGGGTGCTTTGGGATCTGCACGAGAGTACAGACGTGTACAGATCCATGTGGCAGCTGCCGGCGTTGGCATGGCATGGTGGGGGGCAGGCTGGAGAGGGGTCTGCATCCCAGGGGGAGTGCAACGCCGTTGGAGGGGTTGGTGTGAAAGTGTCGGCCAGATCTGGGGAGACGGATTGGGCAACTGCACACCGACGCTTGGGGCATGTGGCAATGCCTTTGCTGAAGCAGCTGGAGAAGGATGGAGCCGTTAAGGGCTTGAAGCTGAACGGACAACCACCCGATGATAACTGTGAAATTTGCCTCCTTTCAAAGTTCACCCGTTTCCCCTTCCATAGTGTGGCTGGCAGGAGCAATAAGCCGTTGGAGCTGGTCCACATGGACTTGGTGGGGCCGCTGCCGGTGCAAGGGCACAAGGGGGAGCGGTACTTCCTAACCATAGTGGATGACTGGAGCAGGCTAATGTGGGCGTATCCGCTGAAGCAGAAAGATCACGCCGCCTCCACGATTCGGGACGATTGGCTGCCGTTCGTGGAGAAGCAAGCGGAGTGTGTGGTGAAGCGGATTAGGACAGATCTGGGTGGTGAGTTCCTTGGAGCTGAGATGACAGCCTGGCTCAAGAAGCAGGGCATCCAGAGGGAGCTGACCACGGCTTACACCCCACAGTCCAACGGTGTAGCAGAACGGGCGAACCAGACAATTCTGGAGACAGCTAGGGCGCTGCTCATAGAATCTGGGCTGGGCAACTCCATGTGGCCCCATGCTGTTCGGCACGCTACCGTCGCTAGGAACAGGGTACTCACAAAGGTTGGGGATGACTCGTGGGTGCCGTTGGAGAGGTGGCTTGGGAGGAAGCCGCCGGTGGACATGCTGAGGGTGTTCGGTTGCATGGCAGTCGCCCACGTCCCCAAGACCTACCGCAGTAAGTTGGGGGCGAGTGCAATCTGGTGTGTGCATTTGGGGCTGGCTGCTGAGAGCAAGGGATGGCTGCTGTGGGAACCTTCCAAGGGTGTGTTGTTTGACAGCAGGGATGTGAAGTTTGTTGAGGGCATGATGTATGGGAGCTGGGAGAAACAGCCCGAGGCCAGGGTGTCCCAGCAAACGGAGCAGATCACCATGCAGCTGGACCTGACTCCTAGTGTGTGGGAGGAGGGAGAGGAGGCAGCTGCAGAGGGTGGTGATGGAAAGAAGGTACAGGAGGCACCTGCTGGTGGAGAAAATGATGGTGTGGAGACTAGCGGTAGCACTAGTGGAGCTGCTGGATCCGAGGGAGGAGAGCAGCAGCAGGGGAAAACTAAGAAGCCGAAGGGTGTCGTTATGAAGGGATGGGAGACACCCGTCTCCAGGCTAGGACGTACCCGTATGGCTACTAAGAAGCTGACTGCAGGAGCTGATGTAGCGGAGCAGCAGCTTGGGACTGAGGAGGCATTGCTGATCCTACCGCATGGCTATGACCCGGATGAGGAGGATGAACCTGCGTACTGTTTTCTTGCCCCTGCACCAGAGGAACCAGCTAGCATGGAGGAGGCATTAGCTGGACCAGATAGGGACAAATGGCTAGCTTCTAGGGATGCTGAGTACCAGAGCCTGCTAGAGAATGGGACATGGGAGCTGGTGGTGCTGCCTGAGGGGAAGAAAGCTGTACAGTGCAAATGGGTGCTAAGGATCAAGACTGACGACAAAGGGCAGGTCACCATCTACAATAGTAGGTTGGTGGCTAAGGGGTTTATGCAGAAGCAGAAGCGGGACTTCAATGAGATCTTTGCTCCTACTGCCAAACCCCCTACCCTCCGTGTCTTGTTGGCAGATGCAACCGTTAGTGGAAAATTCATCATTCAGATGGATATATCAACGGCATTCCTCAATAGGATTTTAGAGGAGGATGTGTACATGACGCAGCCACCTGGGTATGAGGATGGTACGGGCAGGGTGTGCAAGCTGAAAAAGTCCATCTACGGCTTGAAGCAGGCGCCACGCTGCTGGTACCAGAAGTTGGCAGCTGTTTTAGAGGAGATGGGATTCAGGACCAGCAGCTGTGATGAAAGCCTCTTTCTCAAGGGGGAGGGGGAGAAGCTGGTGCTGTTTCTGGTCTATGTGGACGACATTCTTCTCTTTAGCAGCAGCATGAAGGAGATCCAGAAGGTGCAGCAGCAGCTGATGGAGAACTTCAAGTGCAAGAACCTTGGGGAGGTAAAGTACTACCTCCGGATGCACGTGGAGAGGGATCTGGATCACAGGTGGTTGAAGCTGCACCAGGAGAAGTTCATCAAGGAGCTTGGGGAGAAGTACGGAATTGAGAATGAGCGCAAGGTTGCAACTCCCCTGCCAGCAGAATTCAAGCTTGTAAAGGCTGTAGAGGATGAAGGAGTTGAAGCCGAGGAGCAGCAGCAATTTCAGTCTTTGGTGGGCAGCCTCTTGTATGCAGCAGTTTACACAAGGCCTGACATCTCTTTCTCGGTTGGGCAGCTGGCTAGGGTGGTGCAGAATCCATCAGAGGAGCAGGTGGATGCAACTGAGCGTGTGGTGAAGTATCTGAACTCTCACCCAAGCATTGGAGTTCAATACTCCGCATCTGCACAGGTGAAGCAGAAAGGGGTTGAGGTGCTGAAAGAGAAGGGAGAGAGGCTTGGAGAAGGCAAGCTCTTTCTCACTTGCTTTACCGATGCTACGTAGGCCTCTGAGAAGGAGGATTCTTCATCTGTGGGAGGATACATCTGCGTAGTTGGGGGAGGACCGGTTAGTTGGAGGTCAAAGAAGCAGACGGAGACAGCACTCTCTTCCGTGGAGTCAAAGTACATGGCAATGTTTCATGGGGTGAAGGAGGTGATTTGGCCGAGGAGGCTGTTGGAGGAGATTGGCCAGGAGCAAAAGGTTGCTACGCCGCTGTTTTGTGATAGCAAGAGAGCTCTTGGAATGGCCAGGAACGCTGTGCTTCATGGGCTCAATAAGCACATGCGTATCAAGTGGCACTGGCTGTGTAAGGAGGTGAAGAGGGGGACGGTGAATCCGATCTACATCAAGACTCACAAGCAGCCAGCAGACTTCCTTACCAAGAGGCTTGCAGATGAGCCTCATTGGCGTTGTGTGCGCATGAGTGGAATGAGCATGAACTAGTATGGAATGATGGGGATGCCACCAGCAGGCTCAGGGGGAGTGTGTTGGGTGCAAATTCACATTGCACGACATCCTGCCGTCTGTTTGTACGAGTATGCGTGTGCGAGTGCATTTTGGGTGTGAATGGAATGTTCGTGTGTTTGTTTGCTTTCGCAACTTTCGCTTGAAGCATTTGCAGGTACTCACGCATTGTGCGCTTCGGCATAACATTGTACGAGCTATGAACAGTACAAGCAGAAAGAACGAGCTCGCAAAGGAACCCAAGATGGAAGCTTTGCGGTTCGGCTTACTTGATTGCACAGATTCAGTTCTATCCAACTCGAAATTGTACTGTTTTGTTTTGTTGACTATAGTGTAGCAGGGCAGGCACTATAGGGGTACAATTTAGGTGAAGGTTGGATGTTGTTTGTCTGTATCTGCATGCTACAGGGCCAGGGGAAACCAGCGGAACCAGCATTTGGCTGGTTGGGCAAAGACAAAACAGGTTCTGTTTTTAGGACCTGAACCTGGTTGTTGTTTTCCCAGGTTGGAAAAACAGAACCAGAGGTTGTTCACCAACCTACCACCTGATATTTTGTCCAGCCAGGTTGGTTCTGTTGCTTGGAATTATTTGGGATCATCCCTGGTTGTTCCCAGGTTGATTCCCAAGGTCCTTGCTAGCTAGAGCTATTTATTCCTTCTCTGTTTGTACCTGAATATAGTGAAATTGATTCAAGCGAATTCCTTCCTTGCTGGAATTTCCTTTCTACGCGGTGCGACGGCGGAATGCTACCCGAGTCAACGCTAGTACGCTAGCACTCCAACGCTGGGCTAACGCTGTCCGAGCCATAACTCCGTAATGGCAGAACTTTTCGCGAGGCAACTTGGCTTATTTTAAAGCTCTTAGAGTGAGCTTCGATATAGAAAATTCTCAGCTTAATCCGATCGACGGTCTGCACGATACGCTGCGCGACGTTCAAGGTACTCTTGCTGTTTTGACTAAGTCCCTCTTGATCCCTCTCTCTACAAACTCGGACCCGAGGATAGGGGCTGGTCTTGTACCAGGCACCCAAGGACCCTTGGAGGTGACCCCGAGGAGAGGTTTTAAGTGTGATAAAGTCTTAATAGCTTGAGTTTATTAGGCCCTTACACCAACACATGTAACTGTACCCACACTCATCCAAATTCTTCTCTGCTTTCAACTCAACTCAACCGGCTACATTGCCTTATGCACCTGTCCTTGGTGAGCTGGTGCACGTGGCTGAGTAGCGCGGCACACAGCTCGGCGTTGCCGCGCGACACGTGGAGGTCCGAGAACACCACCCACCGCTGCACTCCCTCAAACGCTGCCGGAAGGGCTGGGGGGTCCTGGTGGGGGCACGATACAGAGCGGGATAGGAGGGGAGATGGAGAGGGGTAGAGAGGAGAGAGGAGAGGAGGCCAGGTGAGGTGAGCGGTGAGACAGAGGAGAAGGAGTGTGATCATGCATGTGCGATATGGATTGATATACACTTGTTGTGAGGCACGGTTTGCGAGCGCATGAGAGTGATCGTGAAGAGGCAGAATGAGGTCATAGACGTGCATGGTGTAGAGTGTGCGGACATACAGGCGCACGGAGGCAAGCAACTGAATTAATACGACCTTAGGCAAGCAGTGGTGCATGATGCATGTAGCGGCGCATGATGCATGCAGTGGCGCATGATGCATGCACATGATGCATGCCGTGGCGCATAATGCATGCAGCAGCGCATGATTCATGAAGGGGGGGCGGAGGACGAGGGGCACGTACGAACAGCACTTATAACATCTTGACCCACCCACCTGGTCTCGATACGTCGAACCAGCTGTAAGGGGGAAACAAGGGGAGAAACATGATTGGTTGGAGTTTGATTGGAATTGAGGAATTTGGAATTGACTTGATTGGAAAACTAGCCAACAGAACTCTGCTATACAATTGTGACAGAACTTATGCGATAGGTTTGAAAACAACCCTCGTAAGTTCAAACATCACCCTTGTCCAAACAATCAGAGCATACTCACACAAAGTGAGTCGACGGAACTTCCGCCGCTGGTTGGAAATAGAACCAATCAGAAACAGCCAACCTAAATCCAACTCAACTCTGCTATTCCTTGAAATTGCAACCAATGCAACAACTCAGGTTTGTGATAAGTGTGCTTTGTTGTCCTTGCTGTCTATTGTCTAATTGGTTGGGAACCCCAATCATTACCACATGGGCAAGGCCCATCGAGGTGCACCATTTCTTGCCATGGGGAAGGTGGTTTGCACCCCAGGGAGTTGTAGGAAGGGGTCTGAAGCCTCTTGGCTCATTCTCCACTTCCTATCCCCATCTAATCAATTGGGAAATAGGATTCTTCTCACATCAACTCACCTTCCAGAGTTTGTTACTGCATCTCCCAGCACTCTTCAGACTTCGTAATTTCCAGGAGCTGCTACTCTCTATTTGCAATACAACCTATTGATAAAAGGGTAAATGCCCCTTTCATTAATGGATCCGTTACAGCACTTGCTCATTCGCTCCACCCTCGCCCCCCACCTCCCTCTCCGCCCCAACCACTGCCACCCCTTCACCGCGCCACCTCTCCCACCCCTCTCCCCTGCTCTCCTCCATCAATGCTGCGCACGCTCCAGCGCCTGGCGACTCCACCACCCTCTCCGTCACCTGTGCGCCCACCACTAAGCCCCGCCACCGGCTCTCGCTGCCTACGCGCTAAGCCGCGGGAAGCAGCTATCCTTCGCGGATGACGCTGCTCAGCGGCAAGTGCGGGTGGGGCAACCCACGGCATACGTCCCCGCCTGGCCCCCCAACCACCCCCCCCCCCCCCCCCTCGATCACCCCGGTCAAGCGGAGGCGGGCGGTGGGCAACCTGGGACGGAGGCACGCATGGTGTGGGCGCGTGGGGAGAAGATGGGGAGCGCGCGACAGGGGCCGATGGCGATGGGAGGGTGGCCCGGGCGAAAACGGCGGACAGGACGGCGGAGGTAGCTGGGTGGCGCAGGACGACAGCGCGATGGGCGGAGCCCAACATCGCAGCGGAATGATTGTAACGATCGGGGCGGAGGACGCCGCAATATTGGGGCGAATTCACCTCGCACGCAAGTATCCTCATTACAGGGTGGATACAAAATATTGTACAATAGTGAAGTATGCGAATGTCAAGTGTAGTAGAGCTTGCGCACCTTACAGAGAAGGAATCTCTATTGGTAAACACTGCATCAAATGTGAGTCGGTATATTTCATTCTAGTCCTTCAGCCCTTGTCAGACGACTGCTTTGCTGGGTAAGGGAATCCAGGTACGGACAAGCTTATGTGCGAAAGTGCCACAAATACTTACAAGTACCACAAGCACAAGCACAAGCAGTACAATAATCCAAACAAGGCATTAGAGACTAGGCAATGTCAGACGGCAGCAGCAGGGGCGGCTGCTATTTTCTGGGAGGCAAGTGCACTGATGGCCACCCCCGCTTCACAGGTGCGTGCTGCTGCCTTCCTGCCTGACAGCGTGGAGCCCTCCATGCTGTCGATGTAGTATTGCCAGGGGGAAGACTGGAAGGAGGGTGGTGGAGGGAGGTGGTTGTGAGAGGATGATGCAAGGGGGATGTGAGAGGGGGGATTTTAGAGGAGGATGTGACAGGTGGATGTGAAGGGAATCTGGTAGATTACAGACACAAGGATGGGTAGCGATGGAGCCACGAATGGAATGGGACACAGAGCGGGGAGCGGGGGGATAGGCGGCTTTAGGGAGGGGGCGTACTTGTTTGGTGTAGGAGTCAGCGAGGAAGAAGTTGGGGATGGGTGTGAGGATCTGGTTCAGGAAAGATAACTCTATTGAATGCTTTACATGGGTACAAGGCGAGGCTATATATAGGCTCAACACAAAGACAGTAACCCAGGTGTTACTAGAAGGTTCCGCGGGTCGCGAAGCGTCCCGAACGGGTCCTTCCCGAATTCGGTAAAAGGCAATCTGGAGACAACAGAAAAGCCTAGAATTTGGTGCACTCAACCTAGTTCAGTGCTTATAACTATAATAACTAGAGTAAAAGCAACGAACCTGAGAAATCAAGTAAAAGCATACAAGATAAAATAAAGCTAAGCTAGATGATGCGTAATGAAGCAGAATTAAGCAAGTAAAGTCAAGCAAAGCCGTCATACTCTCACACGTCCCCCCCTCAAAGCTGGGTGGCGTGATATACACCCTGCTTGAAAAGATAATCCTTGAGAGCATGGCATGCGTTGCCCATATCAACTTCTGCTATTTAACTGTCCTCCGACGAGTCATATCCCTTCCAGCGTATCAGAAACTCGAGCGTGTTGCCACGTCTGCGTCGATGAGCAAGCACTCGTTCCACCTCGTACTCTGGTTCATCCTGTACGATTACAAGTGGTGGTGGCGGTAGCTGTTGTCCTGTGAACTGCTGGTTGGGGTCCTTGTAGGGCTTCAGCAACTGAACATAGAAAGCATTGTGAAGATTCCAAGTAGTAGGTAAGCGCAAGCGGAATGTTACTGGTGTCACCTGTGCCTCAACGCGAAAGGGACCACAGAAGCGAGGCCGGAGCTTGGACGGAAGGTGGGAAAAGTCCAAGTTGCGTGTATCAAGAAGAACCTGATCTCCGACTGTTACTGAGGTGATCTCGTCGCTGTCGATCGGCATACTGCTTCTGGGAGTTCTGCATTGTGGAAAGACGTCGCTGAGACTTCTCCCATAACTGTTGCATGGTGGTGACGAAGTCGTGTGTGGCTTGGACGTGTGCCGGTGTAGTTGGCTGCTGTGGTGTAAGTGGTTCCCGTCTGTAGCACAGAAACAAAGGTGATTTTCCTGTGGCCGCATGTGAAGTGTTGTTGTAAGCAGACTCTGGCGTCGGTAATTGTAGATCCCAGTGGCTGATCCCAGGAAACTGTGCGTATTAACTGTTTAGTCACCTGATTGAGTCGCTCAGTCTGTCCGCCAGTCTGGGGGTGGTACGCTGAAGACATCGCAAGCTTTGTCCCTAACAAACCCATGAGTTCCCTCCAGAAATTACTAGTGAACTTTGGGTCCCTTTCCGAGATGAGTGTTGCAGGTATGCCGCGGATGGTGATGATGCAGTCGAAGAAGAGGCGAGCAGTTGCTTTAGCTGTAGCCGTGGCGTTGGTCGGGATGAAGTGTCCCATCTTAGAGAACTTGTCGATCACCACGAGTATAGCGTCATGCTCTCGTGAGGTCGAAGGTAGCCCAGTGATGAAGTCTAGGTTGACAACTTGCCGTGGCTGCTCCGGTACTGGTAGAGGTTGAAGTAACCCTGCTTTTTTCTGCTTGCTACTTTTCATCCGCTGGCACGTGTCGCTAGAGGTGATGAACTGCTGCACGTCTGCTGCCATCCAAGGCTAGTGGTAATACTTTGCTATTCCCACTAACGTCTTGTTGCTCCCGAAATGTCCCACGTATGCGACATCGCGGAACTCCTCCAGTAAGATTTGTCAGAGCAGGGCATAGTTTGGTACCCAAATCATTCCTGATCCCTTTATTACAACTAAGTCCTTCTCCCACTGGAACAACTTAATTTTTTCTGCTATAGCGATCTCTGCGTCCACGGACTACTCATGCAGGAATAGTCTTTGAGTAGAGGGTTCATCCCGTCGACTTAGATGCCTGCTACATGTTCGGGGCGGCTCAACGCATCTGCTTTGTTGTGTAGCCCGGGCTTGTAGACGATGTCGTAGTGGATGTGAGTTTCCAGGAAGTCCACCCACCGCACCTGTCGTCGTGAGAGCGTCAGCTGCGAATTCAGGTATTTGAGGCTGCAGTGGTCAGTATAGAATGTAGTCTTGGCTCCCTCTAGGTAACACCTCCGCGCCTTGAAGGCTATGACTATCGCTAAGGCTTCCTTGGCATGGATGGGGTAGTTCAGTTCATTTCTGTGTAGCTTCTTTCTGCGGTAGGCAATGGGCTGCAAATCGCGTCCGTGATCCTGCATCAGTACTGCTCCGACCGCTTGGTCACTAGCGTCTTGCACTACGTAGTCCTTGTCTGGATCCGGTAGGATTAGTACTGGCGCTGTAGTCAGTACTGTCTGTAGCTGCTCCATGGCTTGCTGATGAGGAGTATTCCACTTATAGGGCATATCCTTTTTCAGTAGGTCACTCAGTGGCACTGCTATCTTAGCGTAGTAGTTGGTGAAGCCCAGGAACTGTTGCAACTCCTTCACATTCTCCAGTACTTTCCACTTCTTAACGGCTTCGATCTTCCGCGGGTCCACGTGTACGCCCTCGGCACTCACCATGTGCGCGAGGAACTGCACCTTCTTCAGGGCGAAGTCGCTCTTCGATAGCTTCATATAGAATTTGTTTTTCCATAGGATTGAACACCTTCCGTAGATGCTTTAATGTAGTATCCAAGGGTGTGTTTCAGGATGACCAGCAGCATTCCGTGTGTTGTGCAGAGAGAAAGTTGTGGTAATACAGGGGTGTGAGAGCAAGGCTGACCGAGAGCTGATTGTCACGTGAAAGAAGGGTGGTTTTCAGACGTCTCATAGCCAACCTTCTTTCAGGTGTCGTACAGAGAGAAAGGCGTGGCAATACAGGGGTGTGAGATCGAGGCTGACCGAGAGCTGATTGGTGGTGAACAATGCCTTGATCCCGTGGAAGGGCGCGCCCGTGATGTACCTGATGTCCAGCTCTGTGTGTGGTGCGTGTGGTGCCCCAAAACAGCAGTTCCAGTGCAAACTAACGTGGGTGATGGCAAGGGTGGGCGGCGGGCACGGGGGTTACCGCCAGTGGCACTGCCCTTGTTAATGAAGACGCGTATCTGCTTCTTGTGCAGTAGGTTGTCCACCGCCTGCTCTGCGCATGCCACGGACCACGGGAGGGGCATACATATAAATGACTTTCGTTCGTTTGTTATGGTGACAAGCGTTTCAGCCATGAGCCGAGAGGGGTTGCGCTTGCCTTGGCGAAGAGGTGAATGGGGTTGCGCTTGCCTTGGCCATGAGGCGGAAGAGATTGTTGTAGCAGGCGAAGGAGACGTGCAGCCCCATCTTGATGTGGTTGCCATCCTTGTCTTGAAAGCTCGCCACCTTGCCGCCTATGAATGGCCGCACCTCGTAAATGTCCACCTGCTCGCACCCACGTTCCCTCCCCACACACGCACCGCACACACCCCCACGAACGGACATCCCCCATGCACCCCCCACTAATTCACATCCCCCATGCATGCGAAATCCACACGCACATCCGGCACATGCCCAAACATGGCATGTGGAAGGTTCTATTAGCGTGAGAAACCGATTCGAGAAACTTGAATGAGAAAGATCGTCACGCTATAGCGATATCACACCACCAGATGCGGCATTCTAATAGTTTAACGAGCCACAAGCAAAGCCGCCGTTCCGCGTATTCGGTTCAGTCTTTCATTTGCGCCATATTTCATCAGCTCACCTCGTGGCCCTGGTCGAGCAGTTCGGCGGAGGTGGACATGCCGGCCAGCCCCGCGCCACGACGACCACCTTGAGCTTTGGCCCCGTGTATTTCTCCGGCTCCGGCGGGAACAGCCACTTGGGCGTTGCCGCGCACCGAGGGGGGGAACGGCGAGAGACAAGGGGAAGGGGAAGTAACAGGACCCAAACAAAATGCAGAAAGACACTAAGATTATGGGCGGCGTAGGTAACAGCAAAGCCACGGAGTCAACACAAATCCGACTAGAGGCGCCGCAGCAGTGTGTATCCACTAGCCACTGGTTTTACCATCTCGACTCCAATTTTAAAGGCCATGCTCGTACCGTACTCGCAGTACTTATACCGCACCTGTTCGGTTCATACTGTACCAGCTTGATTCGGATCGTATTCGTGCGGCTCGTACCATACCCAAGCTCCTCACATCCTACCAGTGCGGCTCGCATCTTACTTGCGTGGCTCACATCATACTCGCGCGGCTCATATCCTGCCCGCACAGCTCACGTCCTACCTGCGCGGCTCACATCCTACCCACACGCTCATACCGTACCGGCGCTGCTCATGTCAGAGACGTAGTCCATGATGGCGGACGCCCTGGTGACGGGCGCTGCCGCCGTCCTGCCGCTCAGCGCATTGAGCGGCCGTACGGCCACCTTGACCTGCCACGAGAGAAAATATTGGATGCGAGTGAGGGGAGCTAGACTGCGGCGAGTTGAGACAGCATGAAGCAGTGGAAGCACGACGGTCGAAGGTAGCTGGAAAAGAACGAAGTGATTGGTGGTCTACCTGCCGTGCAGCCAATAGGTGTCGCCATCCTAAAAGAGGCTGCGGCCAGCGAGTTTGCAGAGGGGCGGGTTGAGCGAGGGTAGCTAGATGGACGAGGTTGCGTTTGAAATGTAATTATAAACCATTGCTTTGCAAAACACTGCTGGGGATGGGTGTTAGTTGTACTGTAAGTGGTTTGAGCCGCGTGGTGGAGGGGAGTGCTGTTCTTTAAAAGTGCAATCCCTGAATTCCCAAGGGATTTGGCGCAGGAAGGAGGGAGTGAGGCCCAAGTCGAGAGGCATTTCCATGTCACCCTTCGGAAATTGGACACGCTCGAGGATAACAGGTGAGGTTAATCTTCGCATATCGTAGAGGCGGTGTGGTCCTTCAGCTTTAGCGGATATGCCCACATTCTCGGACTTATATGAATTAGCCTGCGTAGGCTATAGTGGGGTAGGACACATGGGGTACAACACATTTCTAGGGTTTTTACTTGTACCCAACCCTTTCCTCTAGTAAATCATTCCTCATTTCTTCACATGGTATAGAGCAGGTTCCCTAGTGGGAACGCTTCCTAGGGCCAACCACTGAAAATCGAAAACTTTTATTCTAACCGGAGCGCGAGTCGCTCCTTCCCGAGGCGCGCCCTGTTGGCCGCCCTCTAGTTGCGTCGCCTTCCCTTAGCGGCCCGTCGCGCCCTCCTAGAGGCCCCTCTCACGGCCCCTCACGCCACCCCTAGCGGCCGTGTCGCCACCCCTAACGGCCCCTTCGCCACCCTTCGCGGCCCCGTCGCCGCCCCTAGCGGCCCCGTCGCCGCCCCTTGCGACTCCGTTTCCGCCTCTCGCGGCCCCGTCGCAGACCGTTACGGCCCCGACGCCGCCCTTCGCGGCCCCATCGCCGCCCCTAGCGGCTCCGTCGCCGCTCCTCGCGGCCACAACGCCGCCCCTCGCAGCCCCGTCGCCGCCCCTAGCGGCCCCGTCGCCGCCCTTCGAGGCCCCTCGCGGCCCCTTCTCGGCCCCGTCGCCGCCCTTCGCAGCCCCGTCGCTGCCCCTAGCGGCCCCGTCGCCACCCTTCTTGGCCCCGACGCCACCCCTTCTTGGCCCCGTCGCCGCCCTTCGCGGCCCCGTCGCCGCCCCTAGCGGTCCCGTCGCCGCCCCAAGCGGCCCCGTCGCCGCCCTTCGAGACCCTTCCCGGCCCCTTCTCGGCTCCTCCACCACCTGCAGCAGCCACCGCCAGCAGCAGCTGCCGCCGCCGCCAGCAGCAGCCGACAGCAGCAGACGCCGCCGACAGCAGCGGCGGCCGCTGTCAGCAGCAGCCGTCGCCGCCGACAGCCGCGACTGCCGCCGCCATTGACAGAAGGAGCTGCCGCCGCGGTCGCGGCTCTGTCCCACCGCTTGCCGGCCCCTACCTACCAGCCCTGGTAAGAGCACTGCCGAGCCACGCCTGCTACTGCTGCCCCTAGCCTGCTGCCACTGCTGTCATGGCTACCCCTAGCGTTCTAGTCTTTGATGCTGAGGGTCGGGCTGTTGACTTTGAGGTCTGGGTCGATGATCTACAGCTTTTCCTACAGTGCGATAGTAAGGACAGTCTCTCACTGTTCGATCTCACGTCTGGCGCCTCTGCTGCCCCTGTTGTCGATGCTGACAGCACTGTTCGCTCACAGTGGGCCACACGCGATGCTGCTGCCCGTCTTGCTGTGCGTAGTCACTTGCCGTCCACCGAGCGCGCGCACTTTAGTCAGTACAAGAGTGCTAAGACCTTGTACGATGCTGTAGTTGCACGCTACTCTTCCCCTGCCACTACTGCCCTTAGCCGCCTCATGCTACCGTACCTGTTTCCTGACCTCGCCGCCTTTCCCACAGTCGCTGACCTCATTACGCACCTTCGCTTTAGTGACACTCGCTACCGCACTGCGCTTCCTGCTGAGTTCTGCACCAAGAACCCCCCCCCCCTATGTACATCACCCTCTACTACATAGTCACCCAGCTCCCTGACTCCCTTCGCTCGGTCAGGGACCACTTCCTCTCTGTTTGCCCCACCACACTCACTGTTGGCCTCCTCGAGGAGCGCCTCCTGGCAGCTGAGAAGAGTATAGTCGCTGTAGGAGCCTCTCATGGTGACCCTCGTGCCCCCTTCTTTGAGGGGTGTTCCCCCTCCCCTCTTTTGCCCTCTGATGCCTCTGCTGCTGTCGTCGACTTCGTTGGCACTGAGTCGGTCGGCGCTGCGTCTGCCCCTAGCAGGAGACGCCGCACCGGCAAGGGCAAGGGGGGCAAAGGCGCTGGAGGGGCTGGCAGGGACGGTGGAGGTGGCGGTGGAGGCGGCGGAGGGAGTGGGGGTGGCGATGGGAGTGGTGGCGGGGGTGGGGGCTTCGGTTGCGGCGGCGGCGGTGGCGGTGGGAGCTGAGGAGGAGGCGGTGGTGGCGGCGGCGGAGGTGGAGCTGGTCGGGGTGGCTTTGCGCAGCGGGGCGGCTTTGGTGGTGGTCAGCGCCAGCAGCAGCAGCGCGCTCGTGAGACCCCGCCCCCCCAGCAGCTTCGTGAGTGGTACCCTGTGCGTCAGCGGGGTGGGGGTGCTGGTCCTTGTGCCTACGTCCTGCGTACCGGCGACCGGACTGGTGAGCCGTGCGGTGGCCCGCACACCACCCAGCGCTGCTTTGGTCGCCTGACGAACGCTTGGCGTCTCCAGTTCCCTGACACCACTGAGATCCCCCGCTGGGGCGAGCTGCTTAGGTCCGGGGTTGCTATCTTTGATCTAGATTATGATACTATTCTTGCTGCTATGTATGTTGTGTCTACTAGTGATGAGGGTGACTGTTACCTGTGTGTTCCGCCTGACCCGGGCATTGAGGCTGCTGCTCTAGGTGCTGGTGAGGCTGCTGCTCTAGGTGCTAGTGCGTCTGCTGCCCCAGGTGCTGGTGAGTCTGCTCTCTCAGATACCACATCGGCTCAGGCCTTAGACACCTTCACCCTTGACTCGGGTGCTTCCCGCTCCTTCTTTCGAGACCGCACCATGCTTACGCCGCTTAGTCGGCCAGTTGCGGTCTCCCTGGCGGACCCCTCTGGGGGTCCTGTCCTTGCCCACTTCTCCACTGTCTTACCGTGTCCGGCGGCCCCCTCTGGCACCCTGTCAGGTCTCTACCTCCCGTCGTTCTCTACGAACTTGGTGAGTGGTGCTGATCTACAGGATTGGGGGGTTGACCAGTTCACTTGTGCGAGTCAGCGGGTGACCCACTGTACGTGTGCTCGGACGGGCCGACACTTGGCCACCTTTACCAGTCAGCCGGGGTCGAGCCTGTACACACTGACTACCGAGTCTCCTCCGGTTGCTAGGTCTGGTCAAGTAGCTGCGTCGGGTCAGGTGTTTGCTGCAGCGTCCAGGTCTGGTCTTGAGTCTGCTCCCTGCTCGTGTCGTCTCTTATCCCACGAGACTCTCCTCTGGCACCACCGCCTTGGTCACCCCTCCCTGCCTCGTCTCCGAGGCATGGCCTCCCGCTACCTTCTCTCTGGTCTCCCCCGGTCCCTCCCTCCCCTCCCTCCGGGGCCTGCCCCTACCTGCGTCCCCTGCGTCGAGGGGCGGCAGCGCGCCGCCCCTCACTCCTCCGAGTTTCCTCCGACAGAGGCTCCGCTGCAGACTCTTCACATGGACGTGTGGGGCCCCGCCCGCGTCCGTGGCCAAGGTCACGAGCGTTACTTCCTTTTGGTGGTTGACGACTACTCGCGTTACACCACGGTGTTTCCCTTGCGCAGCAAGGGTGACGTCACTGAGGTGTTGATCGACTGGATCCGCGCAACTCGTCTCCATCTCAGAGAGAGTTTCGGCTCGGACTTTCCTGTTCTGCGTCTGCACTCTAAGAGAGGCGGGGAGTTTTCCTCTGCCCTTCTGGGAGCCTTCTGTCGTGCACAGGGCATCCGCCAGACCTTCACGCTGTTGGGTGCAAATTTATATTGCACGACATCCTGCCGTCTGTTTGTACGAGTATGCATGTGCGAATGCATTTGCGCGTGAATGGTATGTTCGTGTGTTTGTTTGCTTTCGCAATTTTCGCTTGAAGCATTTGCAGGTACTCGCACAATGTGCGCTTCGGCATAACATTGTACGCGCTATGAACAGTACAAGCAGAAAGGACGAGCTCGCAAAGGAGCCCAAGATGGAAGCTTTGCGGTTCAACTTACTTGATTGCGCAGATTCAGTTCTATCCAACTCGAAATTGTACTGTTTTGTTTGGTTGACTATAGTGCAGCAGGGCAGGCACTATAGGGGTACAATTTAGGTGAAGGTTGGATGTTGTTTGTCTGTATCTGCATGCTACAGGGCCAGGGGAAACCAGCGGAACCAGCATTTGGCTGGTTGGGCAAAGACAAAACAGGTTCTGTTTTTAGGACCTGAACCTGGTTGTTGTTTTCCCAGGTTGGAAACACAGAACCAGAGGTTGTTCACCAACCTACCACCTGCTATTTTGTCCAGCCAAATTGGTTCTGTTGCTTGGAATTATTTGGGATCATCCTTGGTTGTTCCCAGGTTTATTCCCAAGGTCCTTGCTAGCTAGAGCTATTTATTCCTTCTCTGTTTGTACCTGAATATAGTGAAATTGATTCAAGCCAATTCCTTCCTTGCTGGAATTTCCTTTCTACGCGGTGCGACGGCGAAATGCTACCCGAGTCAACGCTAGTACGCTAGCACTCCAACGCTAGACTAACGCTGTCCGAGCCATAACTTCGTAATGGCAAAACTTTTCGCGAGGCAACTGGGCTTATTTTAAAGCTCTTATAGTGAGCTTCGATATAGTAAATTCTCAGCTTAATCCGATCTACGGTCTGCACGATACGCTGCGCGACGTTCAAGGTACTCTTGCTGTTTTGACTAAGTCTCTCTTGATCCCTCTCTCTACAAACTCGGACCCGAGGATAGGGGCTGGTCTTGTACCAGGCACCCAAGGACCCTTGGAGGTGACCCCGAGGATAGGTTTTTAAGTGTGATAAAGTCTTAATAGCTTGAGTTTATTAGGCCCTTACACCAACAAGCTGGTATCAGAGCCGCGTTATAGTGATCTTCGTTATAGGTAGCTATGGCGGGCAACATCTCGGCGGTAGCGGGTGAATCTTCAGCCCAAGATCGTAGCGGCAGCCATGATTCTGGTGTTTCTGCGCCAAGGGGAGCGCGAACAAGCCAGGGCTCGCTGATCAAGGAGGTGCTGAAAAACTTCACCGTCGAGAAGTTCAATGGTGAGGGCTATGTGTTGGGTGCAAATTCACATTGCACGACATCCTGCCGTCTGTTTGTACGAGTATGCGTGTGCGAATGCATTTGCGTGTGAATGGTATGTTTGTGTGTTTGTTTGCTTTCGCAATTTTCGCTTGAAGCATTTGCAGGTACTCGCAAAATGTGCGCTTCGGCATAACATTGTACGCGCTATGAACAGTAGAAGCAGAAAGGACGAGCTCGCAAAGGAACCCAAGATGGAAGCTTTGCGGTTCAACTTACTTGATTGCGCAGATTCAGTTCTATCCAACTCGAAATTGTACTGTTTTGTTTGGTTGACTATAGTGTAGCAGGGCAGGCACTATAGGGGTACAATTTAGGTGAAGGTTGGATGTTGTTTGTCTGTATCTGCATGCTACAGGGCCAGGGGAAACCAGCGGAACCAGCATTTGGCTGGTTGGGCAAAGACAAAACAGGTTCTGTTTTTAGGACCTGAACCTGGTTGTTGTTTTCCCAGGTTGGAAAAACAGAACCAGAGGTTGTTCACCAACCTATCACCTGCTATTTTGTTCAGCCAGGTTGGTTCTGTTGCTTGGAATTATTTGGGATCATCCCTGGTTGTTCCCAGGTTGATTCCCAAGGTCCTTGCTAGCTAGAGCTATTTATTCCTTCTCTGTCTGTACCTGAAGATAGTGAAATTGATTCAAGCGAATTCCTTCCTTGCTGGAATTTCTTTTCTACGCGGTGCGACGGCGAAATGCTACCCGAGTCAACGCTAGTACGCTAGCACTCCAACGCTAGGCTAACGCTGTCCGAGCCATAACTTCGTAATGGCAGAACTTTTCGCGAGGCAACTTGGCTTATTTTAAAGCTCTTAGAGTGAGCTTTGTTGGGTGCAAATTCACATTGCACGACATCCTGCCGTCTGTTTGTACGAGTATGCGTGTGCGAATGCATTTGCGTGTGAATGGTATGTTTGTGTGTTTGTTTGCTTTCGCAATTTTCGCTTGAAGCATTTGCAGGTACTCGCACAATGTGCGCTTCGGCATAACATTGTACGCGCTATGAACAGTACAAGCAGAAAGGACGAGCTCGCAAAGGAACCCAAGATGGAAGCTTTGCGGTTCGGCTTACTTGATTGCGCAGATTCAGTTCTATCCAACTCGAAATTGTACTGTTTTGTTTGGTTGACTATAGTGTAGCAGGGCAGGCACTATAGGGGTACAATTTAGGTGAAGGTTGGATGTTGTTTGTCTGTATCTGCATGCTACAGGGCCAGGGGAAACCAGCGGAACCAGCATTTGGCTGGTTGGGCAAAGACAAAACAGGTTCTGTTTTTAGGACCTGAACCTGGTTGTTGTTTTCCCAGGTTGGAAAAACAGAACCAGAGGTTGTTCACCAACCTACCACCTGCTATTTTGTCCAGCCAGGTTGGTTCTGTTGCTTGGAATTATTTGGGATCATCCCTGGTTGTTCCCAGGTTCATTCCCAAGGTCCTTGCTAGCTAGAACTATTTATTCCTTCTCTGGCTGTATCTGAATATAGTGAAATTGATTCAAGCGAATTCCTTCCTTGCTGGAATTTCTTTTCTACGCGGTGCGACGGCGGAATGCTACCCGAGTCAACGCTAGTACGCTAGCACTCCAACGCTAGGCTAACGCTGTCTGAGCCATAACTTCGTAATGGCAGAACTTTTCGCGAGGCAACTTGGCTTATTTTAAAGCTCTTAGAGTGAGCTTCGATATAGGAAATTCTCAGCTTAATCCGATCGACGGTCTGCACGATACGCTGCGCGACGCTCAAGGTACTCTTGCTGTTTTGACTAAGTCCCTCTTGATCCCTCTCTCTACAAACTCGGACCCGAGGATAGGGGCTGGTCTTGTACCTGGCACCCAAGGACCCTTGGAGGTGACCCCGAGGAGAGGTTTTAAGTGTGATAAAGTCTTAATAGCTTGAGTTTATTAGGCCCTTACACCAACAAGCTGGTATCAGAGCTGCGTTATAGTGATCCTCGATATAGGTAGCTATGGCGGGCAACACCTCGGCGGTAGCTGGTGAATCTTCAGCCCAAGATCGTAGCGGCAGCCATGATTCTGGTGTTTCTGCGCCAAGGGGAGCGCGAACAAGCCAGGGCTCGCTGATCAAAGAGGTGCTGAAAAACTTCACCGTCGAGAAGTTCAATGGTGAGGGCTATGATGATTGGGCCTGGAAAATGCAACTTTATTTCCGTCAAATCGGATTGCTGAAACTAATGATTGGGGAGGAGCCTAGACCGAGTGACCCCGCCCTTCAGGAAGATTGGGACGAGCGCGCCTCGGCTGGCTACTACTTGATGTCGCAGAGTTTGGAGCTGAACCAGCGTCACCACGTCATGCACCTGCTGCCGGAGGTTGAGTGTGGTCCGAAGGCGTGGACGGTGTTGAAGGAGCTGCACGCCCCGACCTCCGTTGTTGCAACATTGATGCTGGAGAGGGAGCTGTCCGCGTTGCGCCTGAGCGAGGGAGAGCCGGTGCAACCTGTCCTGGACAAATTGCGCGACCTCTACGCGAAGTTGGCGACCGCGGGAATCACCTACCCGGAGCAAACAAAGTGCTTGAAGATGCTCTCGCTGCTGCCGGAATCGTGGCTTCAATTTACGAGCGGATTGAGCCTGCCGCAGAACCAGAGCTTGTGGACGCTCGAGTGGGTGCGGACGAAGATTCTGGAGGAGGACTTCCGTCGCCGCCAACTGAGGGGTGGAGACGACGGCAGCAGCGGCTACGGGATGCAAGGGAGCCGACGTGGCAAAGGACGTGGCTTCGGTGGTGCTGGACGCGGTGCAAAGAAAGACGACGACTCCAACGACCAACAAGGAGGTACCGGCTGGGGTCGCGGTGCGAAATCTGGACGTGGGGGCAAGTCGGGTGCTGGTGGCAAAATGAAAGGGAGTTGCTGGTATTGTGAGAAGGAAGGGCACCCCTGGTTTTTGTGCTATAAGAAACCCGATGGATGGACCCCCCAGAATCGTCACCAGGATGGCGGCGCGCGGAGGAACCAGAAAAACGGCGCCAACATGGTCGCTGATTCGTCCGACAACAACCCGAAGGGCAACGGCGGTGCGGAGAAGAAGAAGGAGCGCACCGCGGGCCAATTCTTCCATATGGGAGACAAGGGGGAGCAAGGAGACGCATCTGCTAAGGCTGGAGCAGAGCTGCACCCCCTGGACTATTGGGTGTTGGACACAGGCGCTGCTTGGACAATGACGCCGCGCAAGGACCTGCTGGACGACGTACGCGCTGCACCGATTAATGAGGTGTGCTCTGCCTCTGGACACATGTTGAAGGTGGCTGGTGCGGGACGAGCTGCATTTAAGGGAGCGGATGGCAAGCCGGTGGTGCTGCACGACGTTCTCCTCGTCCCCGACCTGAAGGCCAACCTCATCTCCCTCCGTAAGCTTGGCAAGGCTGGGGTGAACACCAACACGGATGGGGCTCGCACTTATAAGGGGAAGCTGGGCAATCGGGTGCTTTGGGATCTGCACGAGAGCAAGGACGTGTACAGATCTATGTGGCAGCTGCCGGCGCTGGCGTGGCACGGTGGGGGGCAGGCTGGAGAGGGGTCTGCATCCCAGGGGGAGTGCAACGCCGTTGGAGGGGTTGGTGTGAAAGTGTCGGCCAGATCTGGGGAGACAGATTGGGCAACTGCACACCGACGTTTGGGGCATGTGGCAATGCCTTTGCTGAAGCAGCTGGAGAAGGATGGAGCCGTTAAGGGCTTAAAGCTGAACGGACAACCACCCGAAGATAACTGTGAAATTTGCCTCCTTTCAAAGTTCACCCGTTTCCCCTTCCATAGTGTGGCTGGCAGGAGCAAAAAGCCGTTGGAGCTGGTCCACATGGACTTGGTGGGGC